TGCGCAGCAGTGCGCAGCAGTGCGCAGCAGTGCGCAGCAGTGCGCAGCAGTGCGCAGCAGTGTTGCTTAAATTCTGGAAGATCTTCACCAATCTTCTGCACTTCTGCTAGCTGCTATGCTTTAAGGCTTCTTTAAGGCTTTTAAAGCTAGATGTTCAGAGCACCTGTCCTCCATGTCCTCCATCACACTGCAGCGAATTGTCACGTGGATGGCCATGGGTCCGTCATGGGTCCCCCATCAGGATCCCTTCAGGTCCTGCCAAAGAAGATAGGGGAGGATCTTAAGATCTGCCATCATCTATTCTGACCGAACTGGGGTTACCCAGTCTCTAGACCACAGAGACTGGGTTAAGAACTGATGCGAATGATCCAGAGAACTTCAGGTTTGGGACCTCTCTTCAGAACCCATCGCTGTCCACGTCATCGAATTAGGTTTCTGAGGTCAAATCCTCTCCATTCACCTCCCAGAGTCCCAGAACCACCGCGGTGGTCGAACCTGCCACGCTCATGAACCTGCAGCCGCCTGCCTCCGCAGGCGTTCCTGTGCCTGGAGAACTGGGCGAAACGGATTTGGGAGGAGGAGCGACTCGGATGATTGTTGGGACGACTGGCAAGGCCTGTTACCCTCCCTGAAAGAAATATGGAAGTGGAGTTCATCAGTTCTTTTGCAGTCGAAAAAATGGTCATCCAAGGGGCCATGCCATTCACTTCCATGATTGTTTCAGTGAGTGTGAATGAGTTGATTCATGAGTTCGAAACAAGCTTGAACTTTGCCCAGAGCTGCTCCAGTACTGCCAGACAGACTTGGGTCAACCGAAGAAACTGATCGAGTTGTTTTGAATTCTGCAAGAGATCTAGTCGATTTCTCAACATTCCTACTCTGCTTGTGCAAGTCATTTAGGTCAATTTAGATAGAGCCGAGCCCTTTTTGAGAGACAGCCCGCACTCCAACAGCTCATTCAAGCTTTGAGCTTTTGTGTTGAGTGGACGTCAATCTCTCAGTCAACTCAGCCTGTTGAGACACATCGATCCAGGCGTTGGTATGGCCCATTCTATCCATGTCCATCTGCTTGATGATGGTCATACTAATGCACTCACCACTGGATGTCCCCGACGTCACCTCCACCCAAGTGGCTCAAGCAACTGGATGTCGCCATCGTGGTGGTGGCAAGGTTTTGGAGTAGCTATCTCATCTGACCACATACCCTACTTACTCGATTTCTTGATGTCTGATATACGTACCCTAGATCACACTACTGACTGAGCAGTATTCCCCCTTTGTTTTGCTCGCTGCTCCCCAAATAGACACTCCTGGTCGACTTTTGAATCGCATGATCGGCTCGCGCGGCCCTACCATGACCGCTGTACCAGGCCTTCTTTTGAAACTGCAAGAGCTTTCTTTGGCCCTGGCACGTTCCAGTCTTCAGTTGTGTCAGCTGCGTCACAACAGGTGCTTCACGTGGGAAACGGTTCGACCGGTCCACCGACCGTCGAAGCGGTCCACCGAGGCGGCGAACACAGCACGGACGCGTACGCAATGTTCACAGCGACACAGTTACAGCTTCCGTCGGTCGGTTTCAGGACAGCAAAATATCAAAGGATAAAGAAACATCTGGGACTCGACCATGCTGGCGAGTTTGAGGAGAATCATCTGCCAAACCGCTTCCTGGCTTCCATGTTCTGTGAAGCCGGGTGTCTTTTTAGGGAGACCGGAGACCCCCAATAAAGAACCTCTACGCTCTGTTTTGGAACCGACCCATGTCCCCATCCGTGCCTTGGTCAGCTCGTCTTGATTCAGCTCGTCCTGCGCTGAGCGGTGTTGGCGAAGGCAGTGGAGGCAGTGGCGTCGCAGGAAGCCCTCGAAGCGTCCAGAAAGGGCCGACACGAGCAGCCCCCCTTCCCCAGGCATCCTGGAGGCCGCCTAAGGGGTCCAATGACACTGTAGAGCTTGGGGGATGGATGAACTACGTGCGCCGACTTTCCAGTGAACACAAAGACCACCGAAGTGGTCGCTGATCAGATCGTCCCATCATCCGAAGGACCAAGATCCTGGCAGACTCACTGCGGCGCTTCCAGTGTTCCTGCATCCTTCAGATGCTGAAAATCGATCACCGGAACTCTTCCGCCTCATGTGTAACTCAGGTGATTCCCAACGAGGACACGGGCCATATCAATGGCAAAAAGATGCAAAAAGTAATTCTTTGATCACTGGAAAGTGTAACTCGGGTGATTCCAAAAGTACCAACACCACCAACACCTCGTGTGCCAGGGCGGGGAGCAAGCCGCTCAGACGCTGGCAGTCCTGGGCGGACATGTCCCAGATCTGCTGCAAGAACTCCTAGCAGTTCTGGGAAAGGGAAGGAAGAGGAAGACGTTGGCTCTGGCCAAACACATGCAAACCTGCAAAGTAGGCCTCCTGCGAGCCAGCAGCGCGTGTGGTGGAAAGGGTTATCATCACTTGGGTTTTCGTCCCAAAGACATACCCATTCCAACCCCGCACCTTATGAGCGAACCTCGTTCTGACTTCTCTCAAGGCCCTGCTTCACTCTCTCGCCACACCCTTCGCGCCGCCCCATTCGCGTGCTGGTCAAACCCCGTGCTGCGCACCCCCCTACCTGGCGTTGCTCCGCGTACACTGGAATCAGCCGGCGCGACTCCTGGGCGCGATCTCCGCGATTTCCACCGGAGGTGGTGGAGCTTCACGTTGCCACCTGGTCAGGCCACCTGGGTGTTTAGAAGGAGAAACAGGGCCTGACCAAGTGAGGTGCACTACTGTCACGAATCACGAAGCAGCTCTTGAGAAGGAGAAGCAGCTCACGGGAGCTCTTTCGTCAGGGCACTCGTTTTTCTCGCCGGAATCTGGTCCAACGGAATCGCTCCTCGCATCAAGCAACCCTCGGAAATCTGACCACCCAACGGAATCGTCCTCTTTTTGGAAGAAAGAAGGTTGATATCCATCCTGGGATCTTCTCCTGTCTTCACCTCCAGTTTCACTCATTTCCGCTGATCGTGCCCAGCCCATGCCCACGGAGTGCCGCCAGTCCTCAGCCTGCTTCACCAGCTCCTCTGACCGCCGCTCAGCTTCATCGGCTTCACTTCGCAAAGCCTCGATCGCCCGAGGCGCCGTTTGTCGAACCCGGTCGTCCGGCTGTCCAAACAGCGTTGAATTCTCACTCTTCGTCCACAACCAAACCCTTGGAAGAAAAAATCACACTCGAAATAGACAAGAAACGACTAATGTGACTAGAATCATTGCATCGAAAAATCACCCATGCTTGGGTCTGAAACCCATTAACTAAGGGTGATTGCACCAATTCAAAACTCTCTTCTCAACGCTCCACGCGCTGCGCTGCGCCGCCTCGCGGCGTTCCCGGTGCATCTCCATCTCCTCGGGGTGCGCTGCCACCTGCGCGCGCAGTCCTTCCAGCTCCGCCTCCTGCGATGCGCAAGAAGAACCGAGGGGCCTCTTCAGGCTTCGGATCCAGAAGTGCGCAAAGAACTGGATGATCCGTGCGTGAGCCAACACACGAATGCAGGAAGTGCCCATCAATTTTTCGACGCTGTATACAGCTGCAATCGTACTCAGTCCTATCCTGGAAGGTTGCCTGGGTTTCACCCACATCAGTCCTGCTGCTGCATCCACGCCCGCATCTTCTCTCTGAGCTCCTGCCGCCTGGGCGAGACCGTCGAGACGTCGAGGCGTCGCTTTCCGTCTCGGTCAGCGCGAGTCGAGCCGGTTCGACGCCAGGTGTTACAAACAAGTAACCTATAGGGCTCCAGTCGTACCTTCTAAGAAGGTGACTGAGGTGGGTGCCAGGAGGCTCCAAGTACCTTCGGAGGTACGACTGGAGCCCTAGGGGGTAAGTGATTGTAAAAAAGGAAGACAACCGGTGAATACCGTTCACACGTTCCTTGGAAGAAGATCAAATGGAAACCGTCTGGTCAACCGACACAAAGACCATCAAAGACCCATCTGAATCTGTCCTTCAACCCTGCAATCTTCATCAAGCAATCGTTGAACATTGGTGCCAGGGCACAGCGTGAGTCTGGTGTTGAGTGCGAGCCTAGCTAAAGTGTCATTCAGGTCATTGCTTTTTCACCTCCGATTGAATCATCCCAGACGTCCAGGAAATTGATGGTCTTCATGCCATAGAGCTCTCTTTTTCGGTGTCGGTTTCACCTCTCTGTCATCCCAAAAATTCCAAAACCTCCTTATCCAGCAACACGAAGCACCAACCCACGGAAGGCGACTGGCCTCGTCTTCTCTTCCTTGGCATCCTCGATGAACTTCACCTGAAAAACCGCTCTCCATGATGGAGACCGTATCTCGGTGTCCCGCTGAGACTCGCTGCTGGGATCGGTTTCGGCAAAGAAAAGGAACTGAACCTGCATCGCCCGCATCGCCGACCCTCCCGTCGCCCCAACGCGCTGCCCTCCCTCCAAGGCGCACCAAGTCTATGATCAATCACCCTCTTGTGTTTTTGCTTTTTTCGCCAAACTTGCGAGATCCTAGCTATTCTGAGCTACCTGATGCTACCCCATCCACCTTCAAGCAACAAGTGTCTTCATGTGCGAGAAAAGAAAGTCAGGACACAACCCCCATGACATGACCTTTTTCTTGACTGATCGACCATCTTTCGTCCCAAAGATGGTACCAACTTCCTTCTTTGGGATGAAATCTATCCCATCTATGGTCCCATCTCTGGGGTCTGTCGCACCACCGACCTACCAAGTCCGGGAGACTCGTTCGCTCCGACTCCGACGGAGCGCCTTCACCGCTTGGAGCTCCTCCAAGGACCGCTCCTGTGGAGCAGGAGGGCGCGCTTTCACGGCTGCAGCTGCGGAGGCGGAGGCGGTCGGGAACGGCCGTTCCGTTCGCGCCCGGCAACCCCGACTTCCGCGAGGAATCTGGGATGTCCGCTGTACATGCATGCATGCATGCATGCATGCACATGTGATTTGCTTCGACATGTGACAGACACGTTGGCATCAAGGAATCCTGTTTTCCATGGCCCAGATGCGAAATCAAGACACGCGGCACCATGATTGATCTCCACGAGCGAGCCGTCAATGGGTTTTGGACCAACGGCACCTTTTGGTGAACGCCTTTGGGGGGCGAAGGAAGCACCCCCTCTTTCCTGATTCAAAAGCACTACACCTAGGATTCCGCAACTAAATCCCATGGTTCCATGGAATTCCCATGGGGCATGCCCTGTCCTTTACAGTGGTTCCAGAGTAGATGGCACTGGCACCCCAAAAAGATGTCCTTTACATCGGGCTTCATATCAACCACCGACATTGGGTCTGTGCCATTGGTCCTCTCAATCCACTGTATCTCCCAAAACTCCTGTTGCTCCAACAAACAAACCCAACTGGCAGCTGCGCCATCCGCATCGCGCCGTTCCCATCACGTCGTCCGCAGTCGCTGTTCCCGTCCTTGCGTCGCAGCTGCAGCCGCTCACTCTGCAGGCGCTCGTGGAAGGCACTCTGCAGCTGCTCTTGCCGCTCCGCCTCCGCAAACAGCCACGAACAGCAGGTGCTTGCCGGCGAGCGGCCCAGGGGCGAACGGCGAAGGGTGCGAGTTCTTTGGAAAACGTATAGATGATGTGGAGTTCCCTGAATTCAAAAATATGCCCCAGCGAAGCGGTGGTTGTTGAAGTTCCATGATGTCTTTTGGGACCTGTATTCTTGTGTAACTTGTCTGGTCCTTCTATTCCTATGGCGCCATCCAACAACCTCCCCAACCGAGGCAGTCTTCTAACCCCACCGTCTTTCGTGGAAGACGCAGCACCATCCCACGAGGTGGCCTCCCACTGCGTCTCCTGCAACTGGCGCTTCGTCGCCTGCGGGACAGCAGCGAGACAGCTTGCGAGACAGCTTGCGAGAGGCAGCCTTGAGTTGTAGCCTCTGTCTCCCTAGACAGCATAAATTTTAGATAATCCCAATTCCCTACTCATTCATTTGTAGAAACCACCCGAAAAGCATATCACTCCACCTCTCTGGCGGCCACAATCCCTCGCATCGGTGAAAGCAAAGAAACTGGCCCCGACCAAAAAGGGGAAAGACATCCGGACCGAGGGCAGACTTGGCAATCTCCACCACGCAAAAAAAGAAAAAAAACATGTTCATCACTGGGTCATTTCTTTCGACATCGACTGGTCATGTCCGGGAGTTCAAATCCTCCCCAAGGCAGAACCAGAAGCTGCTAGTAACAATTGTTACTAGTAGCGATGCACTTGTTACTAGTAGCAGTGCGCTTGTTACTAGTAGTGATTCTAAAAAAAAAATAACTCCCGAGGCATTCCACCTCCATCTCTGCGAAGATCTCCCGCTTCTGCCGGGTCAACTCCTCTTCGTGGAGCCGCGCGGCGTGCAGCTCCTTGAACTCCTGCCGCAGAAAGATCACACAAATCGCGATTCGACCCGGTCGAACTCGTGATATATTGTACAATTCATGTCTGGTTTCACAGCATCCCCCAAAAAAGGCACATACTACAAGAAAAATCGACCTAACATGGATTGTGAGACCTCTTCGGGCCTGGCAGGTATCACAGCTAGCCTTTGAAAGGGTTCCCGCCGCCGCGTTTCATTCCCATATTGCATTACATAGGTCCCTGGGAAAAAAGCAAGAGAGCCCATCACAAATCCAAACAGCAATGACTTTCATGGAAGTGCATCAAAAACGGGTCAGTGTTTCTTCCACTTCCCCCACACGTTGAACCTGTCCCCAAGTCGGTGCAAAAAACCACGGAACGGCCGGAGGTCGGTGCAGTCGGGCGGTTGGTGAGGCCGCCTCCATCTGTTGCCGCTGGAGCCGGGAGGTTTGCTTCTTCTCCTCTTTGATCTTTGCCTCAGCAAGTGCTTTCCATCTACCGATGGGTAGAAACTTCTATTAAAGCGAATGCCCAGTAGTAGGGCCCTACTTCTCCCAAAAAGGTAGACCAAGGCCACCCAAGTGCCTTGGGCAACAAAGAGCCCAACGCGGTTTTCACCAGTCAAGGCCCCCGATCCGAACTCGGCCGAGCGGATGAGATGAACTCTCTCCCCGCCTGGATGGCCTCAGCTGCCTCCAAATGCTTTTCAGGGCTCACACTGCCTGAAAAGGCAGTAGGAAGTGCCAAGTGCCGGTCCCAAAACTGGGCTGTTGAGTTGCTTTCGAATGCCAGCGTGGAAAAACGAGGAGGACGAGCCATCGACCAAAGAACGACCTGAAAACCCCCAGTAAGAGTCAGAGTTGCGTTTGTGTATGATCAACCCCACTGCCAAATGAGGTCAAATCGACCTCTAGGGGACTGCTTTCCAGAGAACCACATGACCCTCTAGGCCAAACACCTCGCCTAGCTTCTTCAGCTCGGCCTGATCGCGCAGTCAGTCTGGGGACAGTTGAGCCCTTGATCAATGGATGCATTAGCGGCTCGCCCACATTCCCTTTGACCAGTGGTTTAGAAATCTTCCCGGGCCAAAAACAACATGAACCCATCAGAGTCTAGTCATGGCCTTCAGAATCTTCAAAGGAATTGGAAAGAAGGCAGATCTCCGAATGTCAGGCGTACCACCAGGAGCTCGCTTTCCACAAGCCTTCCTTTGGAATGATGGCCGCAGATTCACTTGTTCTGGACTAAACTCTTGACTGCTGATGGGAAAAAAAACACAAGGTTTCTCCAACCAGTACAGATAGCCAGACACAAAGAACCCGTGGATCCAAATCTCCAACAAATGCCCCAAAAGCCAAAACGCCAACTCGTCACACGTCACTGTCCCTCCCTGCCGTTCCGCTCTTTCGGCACCCGGTCCCACACCAAAATCGCTTCACCGGTCCGGTTCACCCAGCAAAGCAACTCAATGGGAACGAAACGTTATAAGGAGCACCTCCAGGACCTTCAGGACCGGACGAGGGACGAGCGCGCGGTGCCTCCATCTCTTGACATCTTTTCTTCAGTTCCTTCATGCGTTCTTCCTCGGCTTTGCCGGAGACAAGGATGCGGAAAAAAAAGAAAAAAAGAACAAGATGTGTGAGAGGTGAAAATGGCCAGGACACCCAAACTCCTCGCCTTCGTCCTGTTTTGGAAGGAACATCATGCCCTGTGTCCCCGTGTAACGGCTGAAACCGGATCACGGTTTTCACGTCGCCAACGGGTTTGGATCAAGGCCCACACTAGCCAAGCATGGGTGCTTTCCATGGCTGGCCACCGCCGGAGAAAGGAAGTGAAAGAAACAAATGCACGAAAGCTCTACCTAAGCCCTTGTGGGTCCTGGCAGTTCTTGGTGGAGAGGCTCCAGAGCACCCCAACGGCGCTACCCAAGAAACTGTATGCGCCATAAGGCGCTACCAGGGAGGTTGGCTTTGGGGCATCGGTAGAGAGCCTTTCAGATCGATGCCTGGAGGTCTGGGCGGCCTGGGCGGCCTGGACTTGGGAGAAGGAACTGGAAGTCTCTTGTTTTGCTTGGGTGGTTGAGAAGCCTCTGACGATCTCTTTCAGGGGACCATCCTTCAACTGTAGTTCTCCATGACCGAAATCGCTGGGCCAAGTGCTGAACCAAACAGCCCGGAACTTGCCATGCTTTTGGCGTCCCCGCTTGCGGAGCCAGAAATGGGAGGCACTCAGACGGAGCCAGATTTGGGAGGGAGCCAGTTCGGAGGACCGGGCGGCCCAGGTGGAGACCCGGTGGAGACCCGAGGTCAGTCGGATGACTGTGGAGAGAAAATGAACAGAACAAAGGTACTGGGTGTCGGTCAACCGACCACGGTTTTAACTGCCATGTGATGTTGTTTCACTAACACCCAGATGAGGATTCGTTGGTAAAGCAGCTTGTTGAGCAGGTTGAGCAGTCCGAACCCCTGCAGCATCAGGCCGAAGAAACGTCCTCTCCAGGAATGTGACATGTCATCCATGGAGAAGAACTTCGCCCGTCTGAAAGGTCTCACTTCGTTACGGAATCGCTTGAGCTAACAGCTGACAGCTAACAGCTGACAGCTGACAGCTTCACCAAATCCAGGGAGATTCTGAAAGAAGCCGTGTGGACCCGCTGTTTTTGGGAGGTGGACCTAGGCAGATGCGAACAAGAAACATCCGGAGCCACACCGAACCATTTCACACAACTCTACTTGCCCCCCACGCTACTAGTAACAAAGGGCATCGCTACTAGTAGCAAGGACGCGACTAGGGGCTCCTGGCATCGCTACGAACGGAGCGATCGGACGCTGCTTGCCCCATACCCCTCTGGAGGCCCAGCGACCGCATTTCCTCTTCCCCGCTTCGTCTGTTCTCTGACTCTGCGACATTCGGCCCGAGCCGCGCTTTGGGAGGCCAACTCGCAGGTCACCGAAAATCGATTCGGCAAAAGGTGCCTAAAGAGGCGTGCCCAAGCGGTACGCCGGCACTGGCTTTACAGAATCCCTACCTGACTTCTTTAAGAAGCAATGGGCCAGGTGGGAATGCTCAAGTTTGGACAGGAGAGAGAACGAGCGCACCCTTGCCTCACGCGAAAGTGCTGGTGTCGATCACAAACCTGGCGCACAGTGACCCAGAAATGAGCAGTGCATGGGCCTCGAAGAATGTGCTTTCTCAACATCCCTGAGAAGATATGAAGTATGTTATTATATCATATTGTATGTTCATCTCCTATTACCTCTACTTTCATCTTCAAGCGTTGCTGAGATGTACTTCTCAAGGTGAGTTATTCTCAACGCCATGATCCCAGTTGCCTCCACTGAGAGTCCCCAGAAAGAGGAGGAAGAGTCTGGGAAGACATCTTTCTAGAGGCCCAAACAAAGACATCTGGAATCAAACTAATTACAAGACTCTACTACTGCTCTCTACTCTAACTACTAGACTTCTAGAATCTGACTCTCTACTCTTCAAACCCGAAGACCACCCGTAAAACCGATCGCAGTCGAGCTCTCGTTGTGTTCGACTTCTTCTCTCCGATGGAGTCTCGACCACTCTGGCGATGCAGGTCCGGACCCTGCGAAGTCCGCCTCATGAATTAGGGGTACCTGTATGCGTGATTTTGCGGGCACTAGAGCCCAAAGGCACTCCCCCTCCATTCCAAATTCAAGTCCGAAAACCTTTCTCAGAATGGGCCAAGGTCTCCCGGAACGAGAACAGAACCCCCAAGGACCCCCCAAGCATCTCCTGCCACTCGACGTCCGCACCTGTACTTCACATCAGACTTCACCGCCCGCTCGTAGGCTTCGTTGACCTTCGCGGGGTCCGCGGGGATCAATTCGTGTGGGCAGGTGATCCCATGCTTCGCGCAGAAGTCCAGCATCTCCTGCCACCGTGGCCACGGAGGCTCGGGAAGTTGGGTCAGAATCTGAAGTCGAATGGAATTGGATCAGATCAAGAGATGGATGTTAGGGAAAGGAAGCCAAGAACCTACCCAAGCTGTTGATGCAAGGAGATGCTGCTTGGCACTGTTCTTGTTTTGTCACCGCGGCTACCATCAAGATCATACAGACATAATAAATGTACCAACCATCAAGATATGCAGAAGACCATCAAGCATGTCATGCTCCCCTCCAAACACAGAAACTCAGACACTATCTGACGGCGCCGGGGAAGCAATGCACCCCGGCCTAAGTCAAGCAAATACCGCCGGTCTCTGTCAGATGCACCTTTTTGGTATCTCAGCTCACACCCACATGCGAGAAAACCAACAACTAGCCCGAAGCTCCACGAAAGCCTTCAGCCTCTCGTTTCACCCCTTCAGCCTCCAGCTTTGCAGTCGCGTCTTAACCGCCACTCCAGGCAACCGGCTTGACCACCCCAAATACCACGGAGAGGTGGACATGGCGGCGGGAGGCTCCTGGGTCTCCCGGATGCCACCAATCAGCGAGCCAGAGATGGTCTTACCTCAGCGCGAAGCGCGGTCGCCGCCGGCCGTTCGACCTCCGCGTTCGACCGACGCGTTGGACACGGAGTGTGTGCCACGGGGCCGGGGCTTTTGGCGGAGAAATGGTGGACTCTCCGTGTCCGACGACCCGTCCGTGTTCGTCGGTCCGTTCGATTCGTCCATTTGAGTCTCGGCTCCAAAAATGAGACCATTCGGGAGTTCACAAAGCAGCGAAGCTGATGGTGATGTTAGAGGGCTTTTCAGGATGGGTTCCGTTTCGAGAGGTTCTGAGATGATTTCCGGTAGAAACCGACAAAAAAACGTGGCATACTCCTACTAGAGACTCTCGGTGGAAATCTCTCTCTCTCTCTCTCTGCTTTGGCCTCGACAATTCTCGACCGGGAAAGGCAGCGGGTTTTCGAGGCGTGCGGCCTCTGAAATGAGGCACCTCTCAGACCAGGTGACATCTCGTACTCGCCTTCTCCCACACCAGAACCATCCACCCTTTTCGATTTGGTGAACCTGAAAAACGTCTTGAAATATTCCCCAGAAAGGGGATTTAACCCTATAGAGGCAAAACAACACATTCCCAAAACCCGCCCAACCCGGTCTTCCAGAAACCCCCCCTTTTTTTAGCACTCCCAACCTCGCTTTTCTTGTGCCTCGGCACGTCCGGGGATCAGCTGGAAGGCCTGCAAAGACATGGGCTCCGCCGGAGCACCGACCAAGACCATCTTCCCGTGCTTGGCCAACATGCCCAAGTAGAGCTGGGGCTCGTAGAGGGCACTGATAGTGTTGAGACTTGGACCGCGAGGCCGCAGGCGAGCGGTTTCGGGTCTCTCTCCGTTTGGCACGGCCGGGACCGACGGAAAACAAGGATCCTTGGCTTGAAGTGAAAAACTATAAGGAGAAATGGCTGTGAAATGTTCAGAAAGAGGGGAATTCACTGTTGTATTCTATTTGGAGGCCACTACAGTTCTAAAGGTGGCACAAGGAAAAAGTGTGAAGCATACCCCGGTTCAATGCTGAAGCCAAACAACCGGTAGCAAATCAGAGATGAGACCAACAGTGTGCTTGCAAAACAACAAAAAAGACAACACACAAACATTCAAAGACAACACACAAGCATTCTATAGGGTCTTTGCACAAATTGTCAAGCCAAGTGAGTCTAGCTTGAAGCTTTCCAGACCTCAAAATCTGTCCAAACCAGACACCGACACAGGTCCGAGCCTCTCCCCAACTACATTCATTCGACTCCGACTCCAAACCGCAGCAAAACTCTGCCCAGCAGCATGAACTCGAACTTGCCACTCGCAGCAGCAACCTCTGCCTGCCACAAACCAAACGCGATTTCGCGGCATGACAAACTACAACCTCGGACACATGCACATGAAAGGAAAACCCACAAACACAATTCTGATACCACTGGCTTCCTGGCTTCCATTGGTTTACAGTTTACTGTACTAGTTTCGACTCATGAACCATGAATTCCGGCACATACAAATGGTGCGCGACCCAGCTTCTCGGCGCGCAGACGTTGCACGCCTCGTTGCTGGTGATCACAAAGTTGTCCTTGGGCGACCCAGACACCCAGACGAACTTGCCCCGCCGTCGGTACCGGCATGAACAACGTGAAGGCAGCCGAAGAGATGCATTGGCAAATCGGAAGATGCAGCCTTGCTCTGTTTGTTTAAGTTAGTAGGCACATGGAAATCTGGTGGTTGGTGTCCTTGAGAAGAGCACCTTTCGGTTGAAAGGCCGTTTTTTGGGACAACGACGTCTCGAGCAAGTCCAGATGAGCCCCTGCCAGAGAGGAATCCATTCCAGTAAATGGATTCAGGAATTGCTGATCCCTATTAGTAGCTTCTAAGCTACTAGGTTGGAGGAGGTGCATCGCAAAAAAGGGAGTCCAAGTGCCTCACCTCTTTCCGCCACGGCACTGCCTTCAGTTCCTTGAGCGCCTCATCCCGTTTGCTCTCGCTGCGCGAGAGCACGGTGACCTGCGAGTCGTTGGTCGTCAGCTCACTGGTCTACACTCGTTGGTCGCCGCATCATGGAAGTGGAAAGCCACCGGTTTGGTATGTGGAAAATGGTCATCTGAAAGGTTCATTGTCTACTTCCAGGATGATTACAGGGAGTGTATTTTGAAATTCTTGTTGATACTAGTCCATGGAGTAAAGCGCCAACACTAAAATCTTAGCGGCGGAATCTCCACAAAATATAATATAGCAGCCAATAGCAGCAGTCACTTTTGCACGGTGTTATGTTTGCAATCAGTGTCGCGAATCAACCAAGGGTGAAATTTATAGAAGGACAATTGAAGACAACATAAGACAAGGGGGGGGGTAGGAAGCTACTAGTAACAAGTGCCTTACTACTTAGTAACAATAAGACTTCACAACATAAAACAACCTTTCTGCGGAAATGGAGCGGACCGTTTATTAGGATGATCTGCGGCTTGCGGACGGGGCTGGTGTGGGAGCCGGTGCGTTCTGTTCGGAAGGATCGCTATAGGTTGAGCTGCTACAAGGATCAAAAGGCATCACCGTGTGACGTGACGGAGTTGTATGGGGAAAAAACTGGGCTGGCAGTCCACCTCCCAAACTCTGGATTTGGTGCGGTGCAACTCACTGGTCAAACTCTCCCCAAACACAAAAAGACTGCAAGAACTAAGGCCTTTGCCACCACTCCTGCCCCTGGCACACTTTCCTTCCCTACCACCCAACCCCCCAACCGCCGGCCTCGGCGCCCATGGCCTTTCCAATGAGCACCGCCATGGCACCCAAGCCGCCGAGCCCCGCCACGGCCATCTTCATCCCAGGCTTCAAGCCTCCGCCGCCGACCGAAGGTCGTTCGTCGCGGCTCGTCCGGAGGGGGCCCCGGATCGAGCCGGACGACCGGTCTCCGCCGGTTCGGCGCTCCGAAACACGCACCGAGCCGCCAAAGTACATCATGGGCGAGTACACGGTGATGCCCGCCTTGGGGATGATTCATGGCCAGAAGAACCAGATGGATTCCGCAAAAGTGCGGGAACTCTTCGGGGTCCGATCGGGGCGGAAGAAAGACGTCCACATGCCTAACATATCTAGTTCCATCCACTTCACGCCATCCCACGCCTTTTATGGCGAAACGAAAACGAACTCCGAGTCACACACAGCAGTGGGGCGGCACCCGCCATGTCCATACCATCGGGGATTTTGCAAATGTAGTTCTCATCCACCACCACACACTGAGAGTAGCCGCCATAGGTTGGAGCGCCACCATCCTGCCGATTTCGGATGGTATATCATGCGACACGCCCTAAGAGCGAGCGATGGCCTCATCCAAAGAGAAAATGCGTGGAACATCTCCAGAGATGTGCTGTAGATCCCTCCATCCCTCGAGCTGAGGCTGTGTTTCAGGCTGGTATGTCCAGTCGCGGATTGGCCGAGTCACAACACATCCAATTCGATGTTGTTTTGGGATATGTTTAAGTGTTAAATGAAAAAATATCAAATTAATTCCTAAAAGAATTCTTGGTGCCTCTCTGAGTCCCTCCAAACTTTTCCGAGCATCGACTCGACTCGCACGCGGCAGTCTCGTGTCAGCAACCCATCGATTCCGACAGCCGCTCGAAAAACAACAAATCACAGGCCCAACCACGTGCGGTGAGAGGCGGAGGCTCGGCTCACTCAGCTCGGCTCCGAAAACGAAAAAATAAGACGAAAGAAACGAAAACCGGACTCGACTCCTCGTTGTATTCCTCGCAATGCTTGTACTTGGACTTGCCGTTGTACGTCATCACAGCTCCGGTGGCGCAGTATTGCTCATCGCCCGCCTTGCAGGAGGAACAATCGCGGCAGGAGTCCACCATGCAGCCCACACCCACCTAGCGAGCGGCACGCGCAGCACGAAAGAGGTGGGGGAAAACCATGGGGAGCAACTACTGCCAGGGCTGACGGGATCGCAAATGAGGATGAACTTCCTCCTCAAGCTGCCTAAGCCAGTCGTCCAATGAGACACCCAACCCAACTTCCCATCACCACCGTCGCCACCATCCCTGCAACAGCCCCAGCCCCTCCGTCTCCACACCACCCGTTTTGGGCGGCCACCCACCGCGCGCCTTGTCGCCGACCTTGAACTTCGTGACATCCTTGCCCACGGCTTCCACTTCTCCAGCGATCTCGTGGCCCGGCACCATGGGGAAGAGGCCCTTGCCCCACTCCTCGCGCGCCTGGTGGATGTCCGAATGGCAGATGCCGGCGTACTTGATGGTGATCTTCACATCCTGGACATCACACGATCGCTTGGAGGAGTCGTTTCTGTGGTGTCGTGGCCTTCTGAAGTGTGCTTCGTCTGTGGGGCTCGGCAAGGGATGGTGGAGTTCGAAAAGGGATGGATCCTACTTCAAGTGCACCATCTCGACACCACGTGGGCCATGCGCTGCGAATGGCCTACCACATCCGACCACCGAAGTCACCGATACCACGACTCCCCGGAGCGACCCGAAGTCACCGCGCCTTGTTGCCCACTGCACGACGTTCGATGGTGTGCAGGCTCAAAGGAGCTCCACCACTCATGGCTGCGATGCACTTGCACGACATGGCGGATCTTGTTGGATCGATCAAAGGCGAAGAAGCAACTTTTCGTGTGATGTTTGGAAGGCACTGTTGGCCCAGGTCAGCGGCGCCAAAAGGCAGCCAGAGCGGCAGGTGGAAAGAAAAAAGAAGGGAATGACTTGTGCGACGAGAGTAGGGTAGGATCCAGCCACCCTAATGCCTTAGGCGTCGCGGAGTGAATTAGGAAGTCTGCAATTGCAGGTCTTTTGCTTTCGCGAAGGAATGGAAGGGGTGAAGCAAGCTCCTCAACAAAACCAACTCTTCATCGACATCCTGGAAACTAAGTCCCAACCAGAGACTTATGGTTGCTCCAATATTTAATTATAGATCCTTTACATAAGAAGTGGCTGGGACTGGGGAAACATCCATGGTCCATTCCTTTTCACGTTGTTTCTGGTTGGGACTGGGTTTCCAGGCTGGTATGCCATGACGATGGCATCCACCTTAGAGGGGTAGTTGCGAAAAGACCCTTTGACAGCAGGTAAGCCTCCTCATGTCGTCTTCTGGAGTTCCGGAATCAAACAGAAACCCCGACGCATGAAACCATGGGCACACAAAAGAACATGGTCCGTGACCTGAGCCGTCCGTGACCTCTTTGGAGTCTCCAAGTGACCTTTCACGAGCCTGCGGTCCTGGCGAATCAAACATCAACAAACCATACAAAGTTCATTGCCACACATGTATCTTCAAACCATGTCCAACCCTGTTTGTCACCGCCCCCAACAGCACCTCTGAGCTTTCCCCCAAACACCTTTTCCCACACGCCGGCAACTTCACTTCATCACAGGTCGGCAATGGTCACTTCCTCATCACCGGCCGAGACCCGGACGCACCACGCGACCGGCGAACACCCAGGCGAACACCCGCGAACCGAGGCCGTTGGAGTTCGGGCCCCCAAAACACGTGGATAGTTGCAAGTTGAAGATAGATCATGTATATCAGGACCATTTCAGGGGGCTGGTGAATGGACCCCTTTAACCTCTACAAAGGGCGATTCATCGACGCCCCTTCGGGAGGGGCGCTTCTTGAGACCTGCACTCCTGCACCGCCGTGGACGAGCGTCGATGGGGGGTGACCTGGGTGACTACCTGGGTGGACCTGGTTGACCTCGCCACGTCCACGTTGACAGCTTCGCTCCAACGTGAAGCTCACGTTCTGCGGTCCTGTTCGCTCGTGCTTCGGTTCGCTCGCCTCGCCTGAAGCCTCGCCTGACCCCCTCCAGGTCGGTGGGATCCTTCCGCACCAACCAACCGCGACCGCTTCACGGCGCGTGTTGCACCACGGAACCCTCCAACATGGTCCGCCCCCAACACGAGCGGACCGCGCCCGCCGACAGCAGCTGTCAAGCATAGCCGACTGAGCGTCCCGACGACCTCCACACCAGGCCTCGGCCAAGTCGATGGCGGAGAGTCGAAGCCGCAGCGGAGAGCTGAAAACCAAAGTCGTAGCTGGTAGGCCGCTGCTAGAGGCCACTCAAAGAGTGAGAAGAACGACCTGGTGGTGACCTGTCGTACAAGTATCGTTAGTAAAACAGTAGAACAGCTCGGTTGTTCATCAATGGTGGGGCCAAGAAGCCTGGAAGTATGGCCTGGCCGTGGTTTCTGAACACCTACCTACTAGGTCAACGAACGGGTGGAACGAGCTCACTCGAACTCCATTGGCCAACCGGCCTTCACAAGTTCCTTGGAAGGGCCAAAAGGAAGGCTCATTCCCTCCCGGTGTAGTTCAATGGGTCTGCACCCCCCTGGCCTGGGTTTGGGTAGACAGGAACGGTTCTATCTCTTTGGTCGCTCAGGAGCTTGGAGCAGAGGAGGTCTCCCTATGTTACACAGAGGATTCTCCAATTCCCAGAGCTTTGGTGGCCCAAACAGTCGGAAGGAGGGAGATGGACCGGAGCCTAGGATCGCTCGCTCGCGGGAACCTCGGCCGCGAGAGCGCGCGGACATCAAACGTCGTTGGTCCGGCAACGAGATGAGCTGCAGCTTGGGGCGTTTGGTTCATTCTTCTTCCTGGCCGGTCAGACGCGTGTTCGACTTGGCTCGGAGACCCGAAATGCCAAACATCGAGCTGACTCCGAAGGCGAGACTCCACGTCCGAACTCGTGGGGCCGCCTAGAATTCAGGCCACGTCCGATGGTCTCTGGTCCGGACCTTCCAATGGACCTTCCGGACCTCGGATCTGGGCCGCCCCACTCGATGGAGATGGAGGTGATCTGCTTCACCACCTGGAGTCGACCAAACCGAGACACCTCGACCGTCGTTCGGGGTCGTTCAAACACGTCCCACCAACTCGGAGACCAGGTGAGGGGCCCACAAACCATCAAAAACCTGGTTGTCCCTAGCAAGAGACATGATAGGCAGAAATGCCTGTCCAGCATGTCAACAGGGTGGTGGTGTCACTGTGACGAGCCCCATCCCTCCCATCCTCCAATTGACTTAATGGGACCCGACGGCTTGCGGAGCTGAGGAAGCAGAAAACTGCTTCGAAGGCCCCTCTCGCATACCACGAAGCCATGGCTCCAAACCAGGCTAAAACCCAGACGCTCATGGACCCTCATATGGAGGGGTCGGACCCTCATATAGAGGGGTCTGGGGTCTCAAATCTTAGGTTTTGAGGGACCGGTCGGGCTGTGTGGAGCGTCTGGGCAGTAGCTACCTGTATCAGTGCTCTGCTTTCGTCGGACACTGATACACCCCTCCGAACATCCCACGTCTTTTCACCCCGCATCCGTGTGGACCGGACGTCCGAGGGCGAGTGCAAGTCGATGAGACGCTTGTGGATCCGCATCTCCCATCGGTCGAAGGTGTTGGTGCCTACCGCGAAGCGAAAAGAACACGTGGAGGGCTGTGACGTGCTGCGAGAATCATGGAAACCCCCAGGAAGTCCTCCGAATCCACCAAAAGTGAGAGTCTATCGTTCAACTCTATCCCTGACCATCAGTTGGTGAAATTGTGCCCGGAAAGCGGGTTTGGTCCCATTCATTTGGAGCTGCAAATGAAAAATCCAAGGTGGATGAAAAAAGACCAGCAGGGGGTGGATGATTGAGGTTTGGATGAGGACCATTTGGTGAAGGAAAAAACAAGTGGTAGTCCATTGGCTTGGGCAGAAGACTGAGAACACTGTATTTACACCCTACAGGTCAAGGACATCATTTGACTGGGTTCAGTCATGCAAAACCAGTATTCTGTGAGGTCAAGGACCTTTAACTTGGCCCTTGGACTTGTAGGGACATGTCATGGAGCCATCATCCGCCGTCATCCCATTCCGACATCGTCACCTTCACCGCAGGGGGACTTCCGCACCATGAGTCGCAAGATCTTCGTGGGGAGGCCTTGAAGGTGCGAGCCGCAGAGTCGGCACTCCGGTTTCGATGCACGCAGGTGTCCGGTCCCATCTCGGAAGCGCCCTGCAGTTGCACTGCAGGAGGTTGGACCCCAAAAGGATTTGCGTGGAGAGTGTCTTGCCTGCGGCATGGGTTCTTGTCCACCGTACCAAGCTGCCTTGCGTTTTTTCTCCAAATACACTCCACATCACTACGGGTGTGAAGTATCCAACTAATTGGGGGGGGCATGGAAGTGATTCTTATGCTGATGATATCTGTCTACCTGCAGATATTCTGCTGTTTGGAGATCTACAAAGCATGCTGCACCGCGCCAGCACCACCAGTTCCCTCGTTCGCTTGGGTCTCCGAACGGATGGGCCCAGCGACCTTCAAGTCCTACAGAAGTGACGTCTGCAGAAGGGCCAGACCGACAGCATGAGCTTTGTCAGTGCAGAGCTAGGCCGAGAAACCCTGAAATGTCCATGCTAAGAACTCACAAGCATATAGGGGAGAAGCCTATAGGGGTGCCCCGTCTGGAAGCCTATAGGTAGTGTGGGGTACTTCATTGGACACCCCTTTGTGACTCCTGGTATAGGCACTCTCCCCACGGGGAGTTCTGCACAGCTGGAATTGGGCGGCGTGTTTTCTCGGAACGCCGAGCAACCCACAGCGACAGAATCGGATGGTCGACCATGTCCAGAATCGTCGCGGTGGCTTCGGCCACGAGCGACAGAAGAAACACATAGAAACACCAGTACTTCCAAAGAAAACAGACAGAACATCACAGAAACACCTGGAAACTCCATGCATCCCTTTCTATACTTTCCCTCCCACCGGTCTAGAACTCCCCGAATCGCCCAGGTCGGGTCGGCTCCTTGGCCTTAGCTCCGCTCACCAGGTCAGTGCAGACCTTCTCCAAGGCACGGACCTTCGGACAGGTCCGTCCCAAGCGCCGTCGTGTCAGGCAGGACCAGGCTCTCCATCGAACGTCAGGAATTGTCAAAAATCGATGGTAGGGTGGTCTGGAGCGGGTCGCGGAGAATGAGTGGAGTAGCTGGACACCCGTACCCTCCATGGATCGCACCCCTTTGTGACTGCTGGTCTGTCTAGTAAACCTTCAAAAAGAAGCTGGTGGCAGCCTTCAATGACCCACCAGGTCGCCTCCTGCCCGGGGTGTTCTCCGAAGAAAGCCGTGACCCACTGCGAAACTCCGCGCGAGTCCCCCCTTCGCCCACTCGTGGCCCCGCACATCGCGGCTGCTCAGGGTGATTCGGATGCGGTGGAGCCCTCGGGTGATCCGGAAAAGGTGTCGACCAAAGGATCCAACGAGAGTCACGTACAGGCAAAGAGAGTTGGAGATTTGAAGGTTATATAGCATCATGATCAAGCAATCCTCTGGAAGAGGTGTGCTGAAAATGTTCACATTTGAGTTCTTGAGAGGCGGAAGAGTACAATAATCACGTTCCTCCTCTTCCATGTGAGTCTTTTGTGTGGGTTTCTGAGTCAAGGGCCTCCTGCTGACAGGCATTCGCACATTTTCCCAGCTACCATCAAGTGCGCTCAAACTCCCAAGAAACTCTATTCGACCGTTTGGGTTCCGAAAGCTTTCCTTCAGCGGCACAAGTTCAGCAAAGTGGGCTCACAAAGCTGAGCTCTGATGGATTCACGCTGAGTCGGGAAGTAACATCATTGTCCAGTGAAATCATCATCTGACTGCCACATTGCCCCATAAATCTATACAAGGAGTCACAAAGGGGTGTCCAATGAAGTACCCCACACTACCTATAGGCTTCCATTGGGCACCCCTTTGTGACTCCTGGTACAAGGCTTTCTCTTCACCTTTCCGTCGTAGATTTGGCTGCAAATGCACTCGATCATAAATGAAGAATAGACAGTCAGGAAGCTTGTTTCTTTCGATCAGCTGCTGTGCCACAGCCAGGTTTTCAGAGCAATCAAAATTCACGCGGATGTCTGCAACCATCACGCTGTGAAAAACAGCTTGCAAAGCAGATCCCAGTTGCCGCTTCAAGTCTTGCTCACTCATGTTGCAAGAACCCACCCTCCTCTCGACTACCAGCCGGTCACCAAAAACCCGAGAACCCACTGTCATCGCGTCAGAAACCAAGGGTGCAATGCGATATGCAAAGCCAGGACCTTGTGGACGAGAGCACTCTGTAGCGCGCAAACTCAGCTGCTTTGCTTGTGTGAGGATGTCCTCCAAGAACTTTGCCTGGTCTTGGTGCAGTTGGTTGTATTCATTCTGGGCCCGGCCATGCCATGCCTTTGCAGCTGTGAAATCAAAATCTGTGTGCACTTTGCGTGCATAGGCATTGTTGGCACCATAAATCGGGCAATCTTCTGGGATTTTCACTGTGTTGAAATTGAGGTAGTGGAGCAGTTTGGCCACTGGTATGCCAAGGCTCAGGTTGAAGTGACGCTTTGCCCTTTCGTTACCATGCTGCCTGAGATCGTCCAAGAATCCAAAGACTGAGTTATGTCCGTTCTGAGCAGCAGCTGGTATGAAGGCTGCCCAAATTCCATCCGCTCCAGCCTCAAAAGAAGCAAGGCTTGCTTCATGAACTTTGCTGCCTCCATGCCCATGCACAAGCAAGCGGGTTGGGTTGGGAAACTGTTCGCGCAAATACTTGGTCATCCATGTGTAATCTCGGACCTGTGCTAGACCCCTGCCTTCCTCAAACAGGATGGCAGTAACCCTCTTCTGGAAGGCATCGTCACCTTTGAGGCCTTTGAACAGCTGCTCAAGAGCCGATCTTGCATCGTGGTCAACACCTCCGTCATGTGCCAGGTTTAGAAACTCCATCAAATCAACAAAGTTGATGTAGACTTCGCCCGAAGCAGGTTCGTGCCATGAATTCCGGTGAACCCGCTGTCTCAAGTGTTGGTCCGCTTCATGAATAGCACTGAGAACGTCGTCTCGAACCTGTGTCATGTTTTTTGCTCCAAAACGAGCACTGGGCAATGTCTGCAGGACAAGCATCAAGATCGGGGTGAGACACTTGGGACGTAGCGCAGCGTGTAGTTAAGAGAACCTTGTGTGAAAGGCCACCCTTCAGCTGCATTCGCATCTGTTCACTCTCTGTTCGCAGAACCACCACTCTAACCCCTCCTGGCCGCGCTTTCGGAAACAAGACAATATCATGTAGTTCTCTCAATCGCGGGGAGGATCCAAGTCCAAAAACAACAGTGCTTGGCCACCCTCCTAAATCCTTGTGCCATTGCCGAATCAGCAGTTTCATAGAAGCGTTGGCGTGCTTCAGATATGTGGAATGCTGCTCGTCTCTGGCGTCAACCCCCCCACCTTGTTGTAATGGAATTTGCTGCAAGGCCCAATCCGTTGGGAGAACAATTTCTGCATGATTGCCTTTTTGGGGGATGGCAGCAATGACAGCAACAGAAGTCCCAAGCGACAACCCCAAGTAGGGTGGTTTCACATGCGCAAGGGTTGCAGAATTCCAAGGCCCAGACAGCCGGCATCATTGATCACATTAATTTTCATATCGCCTCTGTTTCCCCCACACTCCCGGAAAGCATTCTTCATTTGTTCCCTCAGATCAATATTCAGGCGGTTAGTCATGCTTTCCAGTGCACCCAAGGGCGACAAATCAAGTGCCACATCGGTGTTGGTGTCCATGGTTCCAGCCACACAGGCAACGAACTTCGTAACTCTGGCACATTCTGAGGTCTGCAAAAATTGTTCGACAAGTGCTTTGCCCAGGCTTGACTGATTGTTGGTCAAATTGTGTGCCTTCACAAAATCTTTGGTCCACATTGGAGTGTGAATGACTGGCTCGTCATGCCTTCGGCATCTGGAAGCAAATTTAACTCGAGTAGCTCCAAGGTCAACAATACCTCCAAGCTGACTCAACTGACTGGAAGAAATCGGGCTCAAACAGGTAACATTCAGAATGCAACTCAAAAGAAGGCAGGCCCTCAAAGGGCTGTGAGAGCCGGCATGTTCCATAAGCACAAAACAGTGAGACATTTGTGGGTGCCTTCCTAACGTCTTTGCTCTTGTTGTTTTCTAAGAACTGCTTGACTGATCATTGACCCTCACAAGTAAGATTCATGAATCTACTTCCTTTGGCTTTTGGAGCTGCTGCTTCACAAGACATGGTTACGTGATTTGAACCAGGCGTCCATGCATGGAACTGCGACTGAGATGCAGTCAGTTAGGCGATTCATCAACGAGGGAACTGAGTGAGTGAAAGTGAGAGTGGACGACCGAATCCGTTTTTGCGTGACCGAATCAGTTGGAGTGCGGCGAAATTAGCCAAAAAAACTGTGCTGCCTATCCATAAACCACAAAACGGTCCAGTAAGTTGCTGGTGCTCTTCTTCCCAAAACTGCAACATTAGGACAGGACCGCAATTGCCATCATGGAACTTCCAAGTGAACCTTCCACATTCAACCACGCTTACAAGATCTTGACTGTTTGTTACCTTGTAAACAAACGAACTTTCCAAGCAACTTTCCCAATCACCTGAAGTTGCTGAAGTCTGCACAAATGGACGCCAAGCCAAGTCTTTATCAGAGCGACGCCATTGATCAAGAGAAGATTAGCAAGAAAGGGCAGCAAAACTCAAAAACTGAGCCGTTGCCAACATCTCAAGCTAGAAATCTGAAAGTGGATTGTTCCCTTCCACGAAACGCACAACAAAGTTTACGCGATGCCTGTCTTTATCAATAGCCATGCATGAACCAAAAGCGTAAACCGTGGCCCCAGTGGTTTAAGAAGACCCTGTGTAGATTAATTGTTCACACAAACCAAAACCAAGCGCACAAATGTGGCTTCCCTAAACCACAACTTGAGAAGGGAGCCAACACGGAAGCTATGAGAACCAAGGTGGCGCGCCTGTGTGACAGCAAAAGCCACGCTCCAATTGTAGGTTCTTTACGCGAGTGAGGTGGTAGCTTTTTTCAGTGCAAGTGCTGTTACGTTGACACTAATTGAGAAGGTGGGTTGGTACCCTCCACAGATCAAATACCATATAGGTTTGTGGTAAGGCGGAGCATTTTCACCTGGTGCTGTCATAGATCTGCACTGCTCATAAGGTGGTGCATCTTCACATCGCAGCACAGCACGGCGGCGGCGGCGGCTGCTGGTGTTTGTGCACCATGCTTCTAGCTTTCCTTGTTAAGAGAGAAGCGGCACACATGTTCGAAGGTAGCTCCTGCTCATTACGGTGCATGTTGCAGCTGTGTCGGGCGTTTTGAACTTGAAAACCGTTTTGGCGATGCAAACGGTTCTTCCGAGCTATCACGGTCCTTCCGAGCTCCCCCACGCTGCTCCTCGGACTCCAAGGACTTCACCGGTTTGGTCCTCGGGACGGTTTGGGCTTCGCCCAGGTGCACCATGTCACATCATCTTCCAAAGTGAAGTGTTGTGGGAGCTTCGCTAGTGTTCTCAAGCATCTGGGATGGGAGATTCATCACTGAAACCCAAGACCTGACAGTTTCTGGGCAGTTTCTGGACAGTTCTGTCAAGAGAATCTCTTTCCGTTCGACTGACACCACCAGCTTCCGATCGCACTCCACCTCCGGGAAACCCCGTCTGGGTGCCGAACGCCATGGCGTGGAACGGCGTGGATCGAGACCGCCTACATTGAGCCCACGGCGACAACCACACGCCTCAGAAAACCTGGTGAAACACCGCCCCTGTCGGACGATGAGCCGAGAACCATCGATGCTCGAGGAGGTCCCTTCGTTTCGAAGATCAAATGCAGATGTACAGGAGGGCCCTATGCAAAGCTTCCGAAGTATTCCAGAAAGCAATCTGAATACAGATTTCATGTCAGGTGTTGAAAAACGTGGGTCAAAGCAAAGTCCTGTCTTCAGAATCTCAGCTTTCCACACTCTCTGTCCGTCACAATTGATGAATGGTGCTGTCTTCCCTACTAATCACGAAAAGAAAGGGCCTCACAAGAATCAAGCCCAAGGACATGCAGAAGGACCTGCCCTGCATGGTATCTAGGTAAGCAAAAGAGAGCCCAAAGCAGGGAAATGTACATCAATAAATGTCAAAAACACAGGTGCTGAACACTTGGCCAATGCGCAAATCCTACCAATACCCAAAAACACGTGCAAAAAGTGCGCGGACAGCAAACACGTGTTTTCATTTGCCACATTGATTCTTGTCCAATATCGAGGTTGTGGGAGAACACAGGAAGCTGTCAACTCAAATGCCGCCTGCTGACAGCAGGTTTTCTCCGAGGCCAAGCGAAGCAGCGCAGGCAAAAACAGCCTGAGAAACGTTACTCCGAAGAATTTGAGCTTGAAGAACGGGCTTTTGAGCCCTGTCTTCTGCTGCAGGCAGCCTTAGGGTTCGACATGGACTTTGCCATCACAGAAAATGTATATGGGTTGCAAGCTTACAAAACCTGGATTGCACCACAAAAGTTGTTATCAGCAAAAAGTTGGATTCTGTCTGAAATGGTGTCAGGATGGGATTATGGAGTGACTAAAGAGTTCAGAACCAAAGAATTCAACAAAGGTGAACAACAAAGGTCATGCCCAAATAAATTGAAAATATTGAAATCGACAAGGCTCTCACTACCAAAGAACATCCATTGCACAACCTGTCTCCTCAAAAAGTTAAATCGGGGGAGAGTAGCTGCCACACCCAGAGACACGCGTCTGCGACAACACATGGCTTTGCCGATATCAACACATGGCTTTGCCGGAATTCAGGCACCCTAAAGTTTAAAGCAGTGGCCCAAGCACCACTGGTGACCAAAATGCAGCACCACTGGTGCCTGTGGTTTTGCCGACTAACACCAATATACCAAGCATCCTGACACGACACCACACCCACACGCGACAGCACACGCGACAGCGCACGCGACAGCAGGCAACAATGGTAAAGAGACACAAAGTGCAGCAACCGCAGAGACAACAAGGGAGACCGGTGCTGGTACAACAATGTTCACTTCTGAATGCCAACTTACAACGAATGGTCGCATTCCAACTCATCAACTGGCAGGACACAAGTTCCACGAGAAACTTCTTTTCCGGCACAGAACAAAAACGAACCTATTGTGATGAGTTCCTAATTTCTAGTCAGCAAAAAGACTACTACGCCACCATCCTTGACACCTTATGTTGGCCCATAAGAATAGGGTGTCACTCAGCAAACAGGGGCCATGTGAAACATACTCATGTTCACCACGGAGCACGACCACGGAGCAAGCCCTGTCTTTGACCTGGGTCCAGACACGGTTTTTGATGTCACAGAATGAATTGCAATTGTTTAACACACCTGGATGGTACCACTAGGCTTAGCAGCCACGAACAAGTACATGTTCTCCGCTGCGATCCTGCGCGTGGGAACGTCATCGCCGAGACGATCGCGAGACTCGTGAGTTTGCTCGACTAAGTTGTCCAAACACGTTTTCACATCGGAGCACGCAAGTGGAGAAAGCAGAAAGAGTTAGAATTGAATGGAACAAAGGTCACGTCCCAAATCGATTGAGAATCTTGAACCAAGGAATGCTCGTCACACCTGTCACACCTGTCTTCAAACAGCTGCCACGGGCCGCCACGCCAGAGACACCCAGGTGACGAGCACACCCAAAGTGACAAAAACGACTGACCCAAGCAAACAGCTCACCAGCCAAATGTGCCACGCAGGCTGCAAAGGGTAAAGACACACGAAACAACAGGGGGGGCCACATGCTGGTACGAGTACAACAATTTGTTGGAGCCACTGAAAGCTAACTTAACCAAATGTTTGCAGTCTATCTTGCAAACTGGCAGCCAATCTTCAACTTCCAGAAGAAACTTCTTTTCCGCTATGGAACAAAGACAAAACTATTGCCATGAATCCCTGGTAAACAAGAAGGCATTGCAGGGGCCACGTGATGTAAGCTGAGAACAAACTACTTATGTATACTTATGTGTTATTTCTCTTGAAAAAACGGGGGAAACCATGAACATCTTGCACCTGAGATGGCCAAAGAGAGCTGAAAACAGAGGGGGTCCTGTCCAAAAAGCTTTCAATCAGCCAAGCTGCCGTGTATAAAAAGAGTACTCCGCCCTGCAGCACCAGCTGAACACATCAGACATCGCAAGAAAGGGTTTGCTTCGCACAATTGGGGTCTTGCGCGGATGGGGTCTTGCAGCCTTTGGCAAGTTCAAGAATCTCCAGAAACATCGCATGGTTCACGGCACATTTGGGCAGCACTGGCAAGCTGGGCAACCACAAGACAAGGTGTGGAAGCTGGGCAGCTCTCTTCTTCACCCCGAAAGGCACTCCCGTCGATCCATCGCAAGCCATGCATGCCGTGTCAACATCGTAGCGAGCGTGTTCGCTCACTACGAATGCCCCAACAGGCACCAGACACGAAGTCACCAGGCACATCTGTTTGAGGCTACACTGGGATGACGGAGACAGAAGAGGCTTCTTCTGATGTACCTGCCCATAACAGTTTCAGAAAATTAAAACTGTGTCTGGATATGTGATTTGGAGTCTCAGAGAGCTTCCACCAAGTTGTCGCCGCACACAAACAACACCAACTTGTTGTTGGTTTTGCAGCAGCTTTGCCTGTGTTCAGGTCCCTCCACATGCAGCTTGCGTGCCTCAAGGCCTCAAACCCATCTCAGCAGGAGAGATTTCGCAAGTCGAAACTCCGATCAGATTCCCCAAGCTGCGACAGGTTTTTGAGCAGCGAGAATCTGCCCATCGTCCCTTTGAAGAAAACACATCAAGTTCGCTTTATGGGTATCTTCAGTTGAGGCCCGATTTCTAATGCATTCTGCTAAGGTGTGATTTGTCGAGAGGATGCAGCGAAGAACGGCCCATGCAAGGGAGGACGGGTGCATCGTTTGACTAAGAAGCAGTGGCAGGACTGGCTGCTCTTGCTAACTAGGAGCTATCTGTGAACGTGGCAGTGCCTGGTAAAGAATCAAACAACTGCATCAGTGCTTGGTTGCAATAACAAAGCAAGCCGAACTTGACCTCACTTCGCACAGTTAAACTGGCGGGATTGCACTAAGG